CTCCCCAGCTCTAAGTACATATTTAAAACCTAAAACAAAGATCTCATCCATTCATGTATTGGTTTTATTAATTTTATCATTTTGCAACATGGCAATGCTTAAACTTCTGATCTCTTACCATTGTACCAAGGTGAAAGTTATTCTAATCTTCCATGGTTTTGGCATAATTTGTTCCTTGCTCATTTCAGGTTTGGAAGGTTTGCCACAGGAAAGAAGAAATCATGTACAAATGATGTGCAAGTCTTTTAGTCTCTGTGACAAAGCCCAGCATATATTCTCCCCAACGAGGAATTACAATTAATAAGTTTGTATGTGTCTCTGTAAGATGCTTTAGTGAAGATCTCAACGAAATAACTTTCAGTATATTAATGTAATTAGTTCTGCCACACTTTCCAAATGGCTAATTTTTTTCCTTGCATTATATCGCCAATATGTTTCTATATAATGGAGTCCTCCATGTGGTATTGAAGGCTCCATTTGGTTAAGGTATGAGTTTGTATGTGAATATTATGTTTTGGTAAGGAAGGCATTCAAATTTAGGATTCAATTTTTTAATTATTTTTAATTAAAAAATTATTTCTGATTTATCAAATTTTGTTGTGAAAAGTTTTTCTTAATGACATTGGATTATATGCCAAATGTGTTTTGGCACTCAATGCCTTGAAAAATAGGAAGATTTACACATAATTTCTATGTATTTACATGTTCAAAATCAAAACTTTTATGAACATAACATTTTATGTATGAGTGAAAGGTGTACTACACTCTTTAAAAGTTAGTGATGGTGATTTTTTGATGTAATATGAAAGATGAGATTATTATAAATGTAAAAATCAATGTTTCAAGTATTAATAAATACATACAAATTGTGCGGCATCCGGGCAAATGCTCCTTAAAATAGGGCTTTTTAAAGCAAATTTGTTTGAAAATTTGTTTCAAACAAAAGTATTCATATTAATGTTTTATCAAGCATGAAAGTGAGCTTTTAAGCAAAGAGTTTTGCCAAAATTTTTCCTTTCAAACACCTTTTCTATTTTCGATGATCATTAAGTTTGCAATAAAGAATTGAACTAAAATTTTCATTTTTGTCTCCAATCATTATATTTGAGGTTAGCAATGCTAAATGTTTGAAGTTTTAACATTAAAATTATTGTTCACACTTAAAATTTAAACTTGGGATGATGCTAAACATCAAATTGCTAGTTTTGAACATTGATTAGAAAAAAAATTCAACTTTAATTGAATATTTTTTGCTCTTTCAATCTTTAATGGAGAAAAACAGTAGCATTGCCTCATCTGCTTTGAATGTTGATACAAGTTTGTTCAAACATCGATTGAATTTTTTTTGAGCTAGTTTGAACCTTATTCATGTTTTTTAAATAAAGTTTGAACACTATTTAAAGAAGAGTTGATTTTGTTCAAGCAAATTTTAAACTTTGCTAAAAGTAATAAGTTCATGAAATCATAATTATAACTAGTCTCTCAACTAACACTAGTTCTCTTAGGTTTGACGCCTGAAAACCACGACAATAGAAGTTATCTCGCCTCCTCTCTAAATTTATCTTTTTTCATTGTAAATCGTGTTCTTGTTCAAATTTTTTTTGGCATCAATAGAATGTATGAGGGTTTAAAGTTGTCATTTGGGCTATTTGAAAGAGTTGTAGGTCAAAGTTTTGCATACATCGGTTTATGACACCATAGCGCGGCATTTATAAACAAATTGTTGAAGTTCTGGGGACCACACTTGTCGAAAGCATAAATCCTATGTGTTGTAAAAAAAATAAATTAGTAAATTGGTTTTATGCAATATTTAATCTTTCAATTTTTCTACTTCTTAGTTCGTGATTTCATCCAATCATTTATGTAAGAATGTGTCCTAAGAGAACATAAGATGTTCCTCTTATGCAGTACTTGTTTGGGTAAACTCTATTCTGATTTAAGCAAAAGCTATTATATAATCTAATGAAAGAAACAAGGATGAACGTTATTTGTGATTTTTCTCATATGTTTTAGCACTAATTTGACTATGTATGTTAGTTTGAGTTTGGCAAACAACAAAATAAAGTTGCATTTATATACAAGTTTGAAAGGTTTTCAACTTAATTAGCGTAAGGTTTAGGGTTAAGTCATTGAATTATATATATTAGAGTTTTTTCCCAAGAGGTTTTCATCTTATTGCTTAGTGGAGGCATAGCAAATGTGAATGTGGATTGCTAACAAGTATCATTCACATATAATAGTTTGGTTCTGATTCCTAAAGCCAACATATGCCTTTTTTATATGTGATAAACATACATCTGTGGTGTCATTTTTTTATCAGGAAAAACAAAACTTAATATTGTTTTGTACTTAGCAGGGTATTTGTTAAAGATGGTCAAGAATTTTTACACTTGTTTTAAAGTTTGTATCCATATAAAGCAAATTTTTACGGTATAATTTGACTTTGATCTACGAATCCTATTTTGTTGTAACTAAATTCATTAAATCATCATTGGCTGCATAAAGCTTTATGGTTGCACTAAAACTTCTTGATTGTCATGGTTGATTATATTTATTTTTTTATCATCAATAATAATTTATACTATTCATTTTTAATATTTAGGTTATGTCTTAATGTTTTTGTTAGAATGAGTCATCTGAAATATAGCCTATGATTTCGACACATGGTGTTCGTGAGAATTAGAAATTGCCTGGATCATTTTACTAAAACTAAAGGTTCTTATGTAAAAAAAAAGAAATTTTAGTGTTTATATTGTGGAATTATCTACAAATGTGAGGGTATTAATAAAATGAAATAACACCTTGATGGAGTTAAGGGAAATATAACAACTTGCAAAAAAAATATCATATGATGTTCGGTATCAAATGAAAGAGAATTTAAAAATAATATCTAAAAAGAAACAAGAAGGAAAATATATAGAAAACATAGAAATATATGATGAAGAAGGTAGCAACCAAGATAGCAATTCCTCACTTTCCAAATCACAAAATTCTACTTCTAATGATAAAGGACTTGATATGAGAAAAAGAAAGATTGATGAAGTGGAAAATTAGTTTGCTCTTAGAACAAAATCAATATCACAACCATCATTAAAAATTATACTAGCATATAAAGATGTTATATATCGTGTTGTATGGCAATTGCAAGATGGTTATTTGATTGTTGCATACTTTTAATGCAGTGAATTTGTTATTTGCATAGAAAGCATTTGATATGATTGTTGCTATTGGACTCGATTATCAAATTCCTCCTTATTATAGAATAAGGATAAATTTATTGAGAGATTGTAAAGATGAGTGCAAACTTCTTATTGATCTCAGACAATGTTATAAAGGAACAAGATGAACATTAATGGTTGATGGATGGATATAAGTAGAATATTGATCAACTTTCTAGTTTATTGTCCACGTGGTGTTTCATTTATAAAATCCATTGATGCTTCTAATATTATAAAGAACGCAAACACATTGTATAGTTTATTAAAGAAAGTTTTTGAATGATTTGGTGTTGAAACTATAGTTCACCTAGTGATTGATAATGCTTCAAATTAGAAAAAAAACTAGAGAATAGTTGCATTGGAAATACGGGAATATCTTTTGGTCACCTTGTGCTACACATTGTTTGAAACTTATTTTAAAAGATATTGGTGACATGCCTTTGGTTAAAGAACTTGTTAAGAATGTTTCAAACGTGACAATATTTGTTCACAAATATGTTTTCTTATTATCATGATTGAGAAAAAGATTGGGCTAGAAAAAGATAGTAAGACCAGGAGCAGCTCGCTTTGGAACTACTATTATCACTTTAAGAAGTGTCTACAATCATAAACATGACTTACAAGCAATTGTTACTAATAAGCATTACATTGATTCAAAGATATTAAAGATCATTAAACAAAAAGATACAACTTTTATCATTTGGATTGTGAGTCTTGAAATGACTGATTAATAATATCAAAGTTATTAGGAACTTTAGTAAGATTATTATGGGTGGTTGACTCTGATGAGAAACCCTCACTTGGTTTTTTGTATGATGGAATATATAGAGCTAAAAAAAGCAATTAAATGTATGCTAAATTTTTTTTTTATAAGCCATATACCAATATTGTTAGAAACAAAAAAAAAATGTATAAGCCATATACCAATATTGATAGAAAGAGATGGGATTTTTAGTATCAACGAGACATTCACTCAAATGCTTATTTCTTATACACATTTCCAATATGATAGCAATAACTATTATCATAACCCTAAAGTCATGCAAGATCTAGTTGAGATGATTGGAAGTAAAAACATATGTAGTGAACCAAAACTTGCAATGAATGAGATTGGATATATCAAGATAAAGTCTTGGATAATTGATTGCTCTCACTATATCTAAAGGAATGGAGTCTTGTAATTTTTCATAAACTATTGTAGCACAATTATAATATATTTGCATATTCTTTAAATTAATCACGAGTTTATAATTTTATATTATGGAGATGAATGGTTGACAAGTTTATAATTTTATATTATGGAGATGAATGGTTGAAGACGTTTGGCTCTTGAGCTGCAAACATACAAAAATTGGCTATTCGTATTCTTAATCAGACATGTTCTTTGTCTGAATGTGAAAGAAATTTGAGTGTTTTTGAGCAAATTCACACAAACAGGAGAAATCATCTTGAGCATCAAAGACTAAATGATCTTGTTCATGTTAGATATAATATTAATATGAGAAATAGGTATGCTTTTATCTATATTTAATATTTCAATTTAATAGCTATAAATCCTATAATGATAATAAATGATTAAATAAATCTCATTTCCTTTTGTAGGTTACACCTAAAAAAAATTTATGATCCATTGGACTACACAAGCATTGAAAATAAAGTTTTTTGGATAGTTGATGATGAACCAACACCTGCACTTATTTAAGATGATTTGGAGAAAGAAATATATGAGGGTATAATTCCAATAATTGAAAAGCCTAAAAACCATATAATACTGAAATTCATAGTAAGTTTTTACTTATATTATATAATTGTGGTGATGTTGGATGGGAAAATGAAATTCTTGGTTATGAAGAATTTGAAACGTACGACGCAGCGGCTTTTAGAGATGCAATATTTGAGGATCCAAATTTTGGGGATGATATTTAGCTATGCTTGATTAATTAGTATTTTCAATTTTTTTTGGGTTTAAATCTATATTTATAGTTGAATTCATAAATTTGTGGCGTATGATTAAATTTAAATTATGCTATTTTATAACTTCTGAGAACTTTTATGTCGATTTGTGGTATTGTATTTTTAACATATTACATGTAAACATATTACTTATGATTATATTTATTTTTTAGATTTGTATTATTACATCATTATTGTATCATTTCTATC